TCGTCGTCGACGACGACGACAGCAATGACGTCGGTCACTCCCAAAACGCACTTGGATTTGGCGCGAAATTCTCCTAGCCAAACAACAAAGGATTTGCCAATGAAGTTACAAGAAGCTCCTAGACTGTCGAACGAGTTTAGGTAAGACATATGAGTTTCCAAGTTAACTCTGAATATTCGGAATACTCAAAGGCTGTGAGTTTTTTGCAAGCGCAAACTCAATCCTGACAAAATAATAGTTTTTTTTTTCAATTCCGTACAATAATAAGAAAACTAATAATAAAAAAGAAAATGATATTTATCTACTACTCAGAGATTTTGAATAATTTACTTTTTACAAATGTGAGCTTTGATTTGAATGCAGTGAGCACAACTAGAGAATTAATTAATCAAAAAAGAAATAACTGATATCGAGGATGATTTTCGTTTAGCGCAAATGGATGGCTAAACTTATGAATGATAAAAATTTTCAATTGGAGTAATATAAAAGAAAACTTAATTATTAACGGTATTTTAATAGGTCAGTGACGCAAGAATTGCCTGCAGCGGCTCACGGTCAGTTGCCACTGGAATCAACTAGGCCGGAGCTGTCGCACGTGCTCAACATCAAGCAGAATCTTCTTCATGACGGGAATAAGGCCAGCTTCCCTTATCAGCAATTCGATTACCAGCTGCACCAGCAGAATAATAATAATGCGGCTCCGTTGAGGTTCACAATACCGGCTGCCACTCTTTCCACTTCACCACTGCCAGCATCTACTGGCATCGCCACCACCATGGTTTTACCAGTCAAGTCCGTTACCCAAGGATTAAGCTTGCCTCAGACACCGCTCACATTAGCAGCAGGTTAAACATCTGCTTGAATATTCAAATAATTAGTGCGTTTATTTGAATTTCAAAAATTCACTAATTATTAATAGTATTTTTTCAATATTTATTTCTTTGATGTATTTTTATTGGTTGCTACATTAGATGATTTATCATTTCAGTTCCTAATAGCAATACTTACTCCATTGGACAGAATCAAATAGATTTATCGCAACTTGGAAAAATTAGCTCTATTAATATAGGTAAGTTACTATCATAATAGACTACTAGGATTACTCAAATGCTTACAATTATATTAACTTCATTTTAGCTCCTCAGTTACCATCATTTTATTATGCTCAAAATACTGAACAAATGAAAACAACACCTCAAATTAGTACAAATATACCATTAGGTACGTCATTAAATGAAATCTCTTGAAAACGAATTTTAGATTGATAATACAGAATGTTTTACAGCATCGTTCTATATGTTGCCGAATAACGTTCAGCCTAGACAGCCAGTGCAAGTGAATACTGGTGCTCAATCTGGTAATGTTTTAAATATTTTTGTAGAAAAAAAACATTGATCAAAATAAAATAAGTCCTGAGTTTGTTGTTCTTCACTTGGCAGTAGTTGGACATTATTTTGAACAATTTTTATTTTCTTAATTATATTTTCTCTCATAAAACATGCATAGATACTAACATCTATTTTGATTACTTTCTACGTTAACTCTAGATGTAAAAAACTATAAATAAATCAACATAATTAACTCTTAGTTTATTTACAAAAGTAAACATAAGTTTCAGGAATACCGTTGCAATTTAATGGTCTCGAAGGTATAGATCTCCTTATGTCGTCAAGTAATTCTGAACCCATCAGGTCTGATATTCTTGGGTTAACAAGAGCTGGACTTATACAAGGGCAAATGCAATCATCAGAACCTACGTTTGCTAGAGTAAGTACAATAACAAATAAATTGATTTCTGAAGATGGTTTTAATAAGCAATATAAAAAATCATTGAAAAACTTTTTTGTAAAATTATAACAGTAGATTTAGTAAATTTTTGTGTTTATAAAATCATATAATTAAAATAATCAACCAAAATTTTAATGACTGTCATTAAAAATATATTGGAATTGAAATAATGTTACAAAACGCAAATAAGGACGCACGTAAAACTGGCTTTATTTACACGCCCATTTTTAATTCACTAAATTAATTAATGCTAAAATGTATCCATTGCAAAAATTAATGTTTAGCTTATATATTTATATATACTAGACATCAGTAATTTGGATCAGTAATTATATTGTTTGATTCTCAAGATTGTTTACAATAGAATTATATTATGCATTTTAGATTGGATTTGGCCAAAATATGTGGTAAAGTTATCAGAGCATTACACTGAAAAATAATCAGAAAAATATGGGTCGAACTCATAGTTGAGTAAACCTTGAACTGAACACTCGATGAAAGAAGATAAAGTACCAATTTCGTGTGATGATTTTTAATAGACTTATAAGAATGTTTTCTAACTGATTATCTGCCTGTGACTGTAAACACGTATGTGTAAAAATATATTGATTTGACTGCTAATAGCCATTATTAATTAGCTTGTAAATATATAGTTATTATAACGTAAAACAATTATGTAAGTCTGTACCAGAAAAATCTTTAAAATAATAGAAAGTTAATAATTTATTCCTGAGTATTTTATTTAATATACCAAATATAATTAAAAGTTATTTTCAGATGCAAATGACAAATTATTTTTATAAGTTCAGTGCGGTAAAAAAGAAATACCGTAAATGCATTTTATATAGCAGTTCATACTTACTTGACAAGGTTAAAGGGAAAAGAAAAAATAAGTATCATTAATTTAACTCATTCTATACTTTATTATATTTAACAATGCTTTTTTTGTGTGGTTCTTTATTTAGTTAATTTCATTTTCAACACATGAGAGTACGTTGACGTACACGTGCATGATTTAGAGTATTATTCCCTGCTATATGAACGAGTTTTTGTGTTTATTACTGAAGAATACTGCCATTGATATCTAAGATACTTTTATAACATTACAATAATCTTTTACATCCGCCCATGCATAGCTCACCAGATTTTTTTTAATATGCTACACATGATTTATAGTTCATATTATTTATTTCTACAATTCATCCCAATGAAAATTATAGTTATCGTATCTTATAACTATGCCCTGTATAGACCATTGTTGTTATTTCAAAGTAATAAGTTTTTGAAAAAATAAAAAGCGCATACACGTTGATACTGCTCATAGATTCTGGCCAAGCTGCTATTACATCGTAGATGCTTATATTAATTCATACGCATAACCCATCTTCGTGTTTCTTTATAGTTAAAAAATCTAATTCAAATGAACAAAATACTTTTTCAATTTTTATTTTCATAAATTCAATGCACGGAATATCGATATTTTTGTGGTCCAGCATGAAATAGTTAAAAATATTTAATATATATAATATAATACAAAATTAAATTTATTTATTTCATATGATTCATTTTACATTATAATCTTGTAACATGCTTGTTAATTTAGTTATTTTAAACAAGTTACAAAAGAAGAAAATATATTATTAAATATTTTTCAGATAATGCCATGCGTACGAAAACTATTTTTTACTTAATTCAAAAAACATTGGGCATCCTTTTCACGTGTGTATTAGAATGCAGTCACTACTTCTATTGACATACTATCAAACTTTAGGTAGTTTCAGGGCTCAGTTTGGAACCACCACAAGTTCGACTTCAGAATTTCTTGATGTACACTATGTTTCTTTGCATATTTCTGCAGACATTTGAACTTACTGAAAAATTTATGTACACGAGATCATATTTCTACGCTTCTATATTTTTTTAAATTTTACATTATTTTGTACAAGCAGAGTGAATTCTGTTTCTTACGGTATTTATTTTTATCTACCGAACCGCAATGATTACATTAATCACTCCGTCGATGATATTCTAAAAGTATTTACAAGAAGAACGCATCAGATTAGAAAAATACAATAATTTTTATAAGTTAAGACAGTAATAAAATGTTGCCTTTCATATTTTCAGCAATTGGAAAAAGTTCTTTTAACATAAAATGCATTTATACATGTTTACACAACCTTTTTATACATACTTTGGAAATATTTAACTATTTAGAATAGAAAAGCTTCACTGCATTTTTTTAATTAAGTAGTACCTCGGTAATAATTTTTCAGCAAATTATAGTGCAGTTCATAGAAAATTTAAGTTTTAATTAAAAGTCTTTCTTCTTACATGGTAAGATACGTTGATATATATTTAATAGCTCTTCAATTTTATTAATTCTCTTTTCTAATCAGACATTACAAACAAAATGAATGTTTAAAAATATTTATTATTGCTAAAATTGTTATTGAATAGAACTGTACTTTATACGATATTGAAACAAACAAGATTAAATTTTTTAGAATTTTTCATGAAATAAAATTCATGAATTAAAAATGAAGCAATTTATTTTGTACGCATCTTAAAATTACGTAGGAATCATTGAAAAAAATGAAAAGAATCTTTATTTAAAATATTACTGCAGTTAACAATTGTAAGTTATATATTACATATATACAAATGTACAGAACTATTGATGTCCATTTTATTAGTATACCTGAAAAGCGTTAGACATTTTATTATATATCTTTAATAATATCTGTAAAACGATCCAAATTTGTTTAATTTATTTCAGTTATGTATTTTACAAAAACCTTCAAGTAATAGTGAATAGTTCGATATGTTTAAGGACTTAATGACAATATTTCTTTTCCACAGCCATTTACGAGTAAAAATAATGATGAGCTTTTTTATTATTAGTTGAAACTTAACAGGACTAAACTTTGTTTAAAAAATCAACAACTAACAACAATTCATAGTTACCTGCACAAGCAATTGGAGTGCAATACAGACATCAAATATTTAAAGAATTACTCATGAAATTGTTGATAATATTATGAAAATATTTCTGCAAATTATATTGTTATAATAACGAGACTAGATTAAAATTGTTTGAGTTTAGACAAAATAAATACTTAGGTAAGAAACCTAGATAATATAGTGACTATGAGTAATGATATTTCATTTTTTAATATATTTTATAAAAACCAAATAAAAATTTATTAGCAATTTTACTAATATAATACCATACGTAATTATCAGTGATAGTGAAAAAACAAGTAGTAAACATAATGTATAAAACGTTATTCCATATTTACATCTTCGTATCAAACATTTTCGTGTAACTCTGGCATCGCAAGGAAACTGAATTTATATAGCTTTGCTGCATTTTAACTAGAAAAAATTCGATTTCTAGGACGGCTTAAGCGTTTTCTGATTTGAATTTTTTTGAACTTTTGAATTTTTTTAATGTTATGAAGAAAATATTGTAGCATTCCAGAATAAATACAAAAGCTTACAATAAATTTTTGTTGACCCTGAATATTGTACTCGATGTTTAAAAAGATTTTGAAATAGACGTAAACTCTTGAACGCTTGAAAAAATAGATACGATTTTAGTGTCAAAAGACTAGCCTTGTAAATTTACGCAGCCATTATTACTCTTACTGATAAAAGCGATTTGTCACTTCGATTCAGCAATAAAAGGGATGGGCAGTCAAATAGATGATTCTTAAGATGTAAGGAGCTTACGGAAGGCCTTGCGAAATTCTGGATTAAAGAGAGTGTATATGACAGGATTGACGAAGCTGTTCATATAGCCAAGCCAAGAGGTCGCGATGAAAGCCGCTACACCCGGTTGACAGTCTTTTTTCATCTTAGAGCATAAGGCATCCATGACGTTGCATGTGAAAAATGGCACCCAACAGACTAAAAATACACCTTTTAACAGAGACAAAATCAGAATAATTATTATTAATATTAATTATTATTACTGTTATTCTTATTCTTATTATTTTATTTTTTATGGAACGAAGTTCTTTATCGCGGGTTGCGCAGGGTACCTAGTCGGAAAAAACCGAAACGTTCCATTACATATCGTGTGTGACGAGATCGGATTACTACGCACAGACACTCTTGCTTTCACTCCTCTACCCACTTTTCTCCTTCTTTCATTCCCTCGCTCACTTTCTTATTCACATTCAAGTGGTTCTTTTGAATAAAATATTTAAATAATTTAATTTAGCGAAAGGAACTTCGTTCCTATCGCGAGTTCCGCGACACGTTTTGTTTTATTATTATTATTATTATTATTGTTATTATTTATTGAAAATAGGATAGAACAAATATTTTTCATGCTAATTACGTTCTAGTGAAGCTTTTGCTGCGCTAAAAAGAACGTTTAAGATTCTAGTTTAGAAATGTATAATAATTTATACGAAGAAATAACAATTCTTTAGAAGATTTTGACTCCTTCAATGAAATTGTATACATTATAAATGAATTATTAGTGAAACGGAATTATGAAATTCGTATTATACTCAGTTAGTAGAGTTGATCAGAAATAACCAAGATATTGTTGTGCCTTCAGGCGAGTTAAAAGGAAGTCGCGTTTTTAGTGGCGATCTCATGCAAATACCAAGTTCCTTCTTGATGCAATAAAGCTCCACCTCGGGAATACTTGTACACGTATTTTTCCGGTACATGAACATCACTAATGCGGAAAATAAGGGTACAGTGCTAGAAAAGCTTAAAATGAAACAAATAGTTTGTAGGAGACACGCTCACTTACCGAGAACGATGGCCAGAGTTTTGGTGGCTTTGCGCTCCTTCTTGACCGAGATTTTTTCGCCCTTTTTCTTGCTTGTTTTTGTGGCCTTACGCAAGTTAAAACGCGATCCCGACGACGATGACTCATTTTTGCGATTCTTTTTGCTCGAATTTGGTGAACCGACACTTGTTGTTGAAATATTCCCAATTGACGCTTTACCACTCGGTGTGCTTGATCTGACATCATTTGGTAGTTTAGTTTTAAGAAAAATAACATAACACCATTAATTAAAAATATTTCCATACAATAATAATTTCTATTACACGTTATTAGAATTTATTTGTATTCGTCTAATAAGATTACACCACAAAACAAATAAATTCTTGAACCGTGGACATTTTTACAACTAGCTTGCTTTAAATCTCTTTTATAATAAACTTGTAATAAACTTATTATAAAGTACTTAAGCACGAAGTTAATTTTTAAATTACTACTCATCGAGAAAATAATTGCTATTCAAACTTTCTTGTTGTTGAATTAAAGTGCTCTGTTATTCGTATTTCCAACAATATAAACTTGGAATGAGTCTATAGAATTTGTTTGAAACTTATTATTGAGTGGATCTATTGTTGAATAATTCCTATTCAATCTATTATTTCACGAGTTTCGAAGACTTACATTATCAAATAAGGAAAAAAATGGTATAAATATTCATTAAAAATGTTACCTGCCAAATTGCAACGGTAAGAGTGAACCGATGTTTCTAATCTGCTTAAGCTCGTGTCTACTCGGACCACTGCCATTTTTTTTGGTTTGCGTCGAAGTGGCGAGAGTCGAGATTCCTCTAGGTGGCGACGAAGAGGTAGACGAAGATGGCCCCGAGGTTGCTCTCATTAGATGCGGACTTGGGCTCGAATTTTCCACTGTCAACTCCACCGTATCAGTCAGCATTGTACTACTCGCCGCTGGTTCGTACCCCGAGTCCTTCCGATTATCGTTTGGATTTAATTGCGCTACTGCACTGAAACGGCAACTACATTCCAAAAATAATTTTAATTGTCGGATGGACAAGATAGTAATAGGTTTAATCAAACACTCTATGGGAATGCTTAACATGGAACGATTACGATTTAATTATCTGTTACAATATAAAGTAGCAATAGTTTCAAGACCACGAATACAAACTAACAATAAAAAAGTGGCTATGATAGAAAAAATTATACGACGGTAATAAATCTTGAATAAAGAATATTCGTTAGCCTGTAAATTGACTGTACCCTCGAAATATGCAATAAAATGATTTAGAGTTTTTTCCGTCTTTTGTCAAAGAAATTTATTCTTCCTCGTCAATATTCCAAAAGGACGAAAATTGAAGGTGTAACTAATGTACAGATATCACCCTAGGTAATCAACAGTCAATAAGAAGTTTTTACCAGTATTTCTTGTGGTACGCTATTTCAATCATGGAAAAACTAAATAGAATATTCCTTTATTCCCAAAGTCTTGGTTGGTTTTATGACAAATAATTAACATTTTTACACACACTTAATTTTGTTTCTGATATAATTACAGCGGAAAAAAGATGGTATTGCGAAGGTTGAATTAAAATAAGAAAATTTTCAATTAAATGTCACTAGAATTTAATTTCCCAGAGATTTTTAATAACACATTTAATGTCAGAAGAAGCTTTTTTATCTTTTTCGAGTTCTCATAATTAAACTGTGCAAGCAAAGACACGTGAATTATTCAAAGCATTCTCTAATTCGTCCAGATTTCTCGTGTTTCACCCTTTCTCCTGTTCTTTTTATACTGCGATTACTTGAGGTGGCCGACTGGAAATGCGAGTAACGCAGGATGCCGTGGTTGCTCGTTAGAAAAAAAAAGCTATACGAAGAAAGTTTCGAAATTGCCCGTTTCTTAATCTCCGACTAGCGGTAAGGAAAAAGAGGAAAAGATAGAGGGAGTAAGAGAGACAAAAAGAGTGAAAAAAAGCTGCAGAAAAAGAGCATTTTGCTAACGTTTCACGAGAGATGTTCTGCAGTGTCGAGATAGTAATAAGAAGGCTGCGCGAGATGTTGCGCTAAAATAAAGAAAACAGAATCTTAAACGCCGGAGAAGAGTTGGCTTTGTGCAACAACTGCAGGCAAAGAAACGTAAAGTAAAAATTAAACAAAGTAAGTAAATGCTAGGTGTCCGTGCTTGTAAATGAACTAATAATTCAACTAGAATTATACCAAAAGTCATCAAGCTGATATGAAAAAACACTCGCATTTTATATATAATTTCATTTTCTAAATCAACTGAAAGAACAGAGCTCTTATTATAATTACGGTTCTATGTCTTGCAGTCCATTCGAACATTACAGAATCAAGTGTTAACTTTACAAGATATCAAATCTACCCATAATAATTAGATACGTAAAACTGTTAATTAACACCTCGTCCAAATCGGAAAAAGGAACATCAACAAAAGTGAAATTGAAGTATAGTTTGAGGGGTGGCAAAGAAAAGTCAACAAGGTCGCTTGGTGGCTGTGGCGGTGTATCTAGGGCGAAGCTGTTCTGAAAATAAAAAGAGGGCGTAATTTCCTGCTGCTAAGAGCGCGAAAGGGAGTTCAGCGAGTTTGAAACGAGTGCTAAAGCGAGGTGCGAGGAGTTTGTGTAGGCGGAAAAGGAAAAGAGAAGTAGTAGAAGACCGCAACTGCGCGCGATGCCGCCAGTATCTCCCCGAAGTAGAAGTAATGCCACCTTAATTAGCGAATCTAGCCAATTGAGACGGAAGTTTAAGCCAATCCACGAGCAACCCTAGTTCGGGCGAGGATCTATTATAGATTTTAGAGATGTGACAAGAATTGATTGCCTTGCCGATCAGCTACGCTCGTTAGTCGCTGATCAATAAGAAGTGCATTAATTCCCATTACGATTTTTAACATTAAGTCTCTGATTTTGCGACCGGCTGAATTAACATTTTAGTCACGTATATCTTGCGCTGATTCAAATTACAGATGAAAGACTTTCGTGAACAATTTTCATCTTATCATAATGTCAGAGACCTTAATATTAAAACCCATCTGTCAAGATTAAGAAAAGGGTTTCAATATGCAACTAAGACCTTCTCTATACAAGATATAAGATTAGTAATATCTGTTAAAAATGGAAGTGAATTTGAGAAGAGTGTGATAATATATACATCTACCAATGGAAAAGATTTGAAATGAAAGTATAAATCTCAGCGGTGAGTCTCATACGTCAAAGTGAATTAATTAAAAAAAAAGTAACTTACGCGGCTTCCTCGACGACCGTGGCGAGGAAAAACTCCGTACTCTTGTTATTGGAGATGACGACAACCGGATCAAGAGGCGTCTCATCCTCATCCTCGTTGCTACCCGAGGCCGTGTTCGTTGGTTCCTCGATGCCTGGTGCAACCAGAGCTGCAGCTCCAAGTGTCGTTTCCGCGAACCTTGCCACAGAATACCCACTACGTGTGATCTTAGTTAAACGTCTCTCTAAAAAGCCTCTACTGCACTTACGAACTACTTTTTTTTTGTCTGCGTGCGTTTTCTTCTCCCTCGTCGAAGAGAACTTACGCAAATAATCGGCATTGCACAAAAAGCTTCTAACACCTAACACTCTCTGTGTATTATATCGCGACATTTACATAAGCTATCATTATTATTCAGTAGTGATGGATTTGAATTTTATGCATTACTTTGGCAGCAAAAAATACGAGTTCTCTCACTATGTAAAATTTTTGCTTTAAGGCAAGATTTACCGACGAAAAATGTAAAGCCAATAGTAAACTAGTCTACATTGTAGCTAAGCAAGAGTTATAGAAGCTTTTTTTATATGCTACACTTATTAGACACAAGCAGCATTGAGAAGCGCATTTTGTTCTAGTGTATTTTAAATACATGTGTTTTTACGTAATGAGTTTAAAAAACCAAGCCAATATAAATGAACTGAACCTATCAGTGTGATTTGAGTACGAAGAAAACCACGAATATTTACAGGGCAAAGCAGACGAAAAGTTTTGCATGACCCGCATCGTCGTCATTGCTGCATGATACGTCCAAGTGCGGGCACGTCGTCGTTTTCGACTTCCTTTGCCTATATTTACATGGCTTGACGGTCGTGTCACGAGTTCAGAGAGGCAAGCTTGGATATTCCAATTACGTCGATAAATGACAAGTTTACGGGCCTTCGCTTGCGAGCGAGCACGAACGAAGACTAGATTAATGGTATCAAGGGGAAAGAGGAGGGTGGTGGCGGAGGATCAGCGTATGTGCACCCGGACGCGCGCATTTCTCGTCACGAGTACGTGCTCACGAGCGCGCACCACTGGAAACGCTTAACGATGCCTGTGCGCGGCGAATATTTGAAGAAAATATTGATCCTACGCTCTGATATTTCCTTACTAGTTACCGCTCAAACTGTAATTGTAAAATTGGTTATAATAAATGTCACAGTGTGCAGCTGTTGATATGAAAACTTGCTCCATTTCCTTCATCCTTTTCACCCCTGATATTTCAATATCTAAATCGATGGATTATTTAGTAGCTAATGTTAAGTACAATCACGGTGTTTCTGAACCTAAACTATTAATAATTCAATCAAGATTGTTATGAATTGTGTAGAGTTCACAATTTTTTTGTACAATTGAGTATTCTATGAGTCAGTGGTAAGGACACTTATTTTAATGTATATTTGAAAATTGTGAAACGACTGACATACTTTAGTTTAACTAAAAGCTATTCTACGATAAAATTGTTATTAGGAAATTTCGTATGATTATTACATACTTTAGTATATATTTAAAGAATTTTAATCAGTGTGAAGCTTAAATTTCAACATTTAACTTATTCAATTACTCAAAAACTTTTTAAAAAACTTTTTTTTTTCAGTAAAAACTCTAATAGTGATGTTAAATATAGAACCATGAAAAAAGCCAATTCTATCCTTCAATATTGCTAGAAATACTTCGACCCGACAACTGTTATGGCAAAAAAAGAAGGAAAACGTATATTCTGCGTGCAGGCGGTCAAAGGACGGAACGTGAAACTCGCCTAATTCCAATTTATCGGCTTGGTTCTCTTGTACGCTACTGCGTACTCGTGTGCTCGCTTCCCTTCGTTTGCAAGGGAACGATTTTCGTCGTAAATAAGTACTGGGTTACACATGCTGTTCCAGCCTTGGTCAAGGAATCATTAAGTTACAAATGGGCTAGCTGACGCCTCTTTTTTGATGGTTTCTCACGGTAATGGATGTAATTTATTTGTAGTGTCAAATAACTAAGTAAACACAGCATCGTCAATTTTTCGGCTCTATTCTTTGACTTGTCGTTTATTTTTTGCTTCAACTCAAAGTCAGACGAAGTAATACAAATATGAAGTATCATTATTGTATATTCTAAGTACTTTTTGAATAGATGTTCTCTACGTGATTTCAGATTTTGTAATTTTTCTTTTATCAATTATAAATACACGATCAAACATTGCAAAAGATTTTTAACACCGAAAAGATTATAAAAATGTTGTTGGACAAATAATGTAATTTTGTTTTATCATCTCAAGAAATAACAGGAATCATCCAATTGCCAGAGCTGCACTGCAGCTCATTTTACAATAATCAACAGCGTCAATACCATAAAAATGGTTATATTACGTTTAATAAAAAGGACTGAAAGCAGAAATTAGTTCAAGTATCCTTGAACGAAAATTTCAAAATTCACACGAAAACGTATCCATAATATTAATGCCCCTGGCTCTTTGTGACAGGATAGCTCGTGGAAAAGGGAAAATTTATTGCTCTTTATTTTTGAAGAGTGGATTATGACTGAGGCGGCGGCTTCTTATAAAATGAGTTGGTTTTGATTTATCGATGTGTATCTCGAAATTTTTACAATTTAAATTGAGATGCTAGCATTGATGGCATGAGTTTATCTGAATTTGCTATCCTCCGATGAATCTTCGAACAGATTCAGAATAAGACGTACGTCTTTTTAACAAATCCATACGGCTTTAAAATTTTATATTTATGTTTACTTTTTTATTCCTATTCCATAAGCTACGAAAACCTTTATATTTTATTTTTCGTTATTTTTTTTATTAAATTATTGCATAACAATATCTTTGAACATAACATTACTACTCAAAATTGAATTTACTTAATTAAAAGTTAAGCTTAATTCCGTAGACTTTAACTGATTGGAGTACTTAATACTACTCTACAATCATCTATTAGAAGTTAAATAGAGCATCTCAAGGGCTGAACTCATAATTATAATGTGCACCATATATAATGGTTCTATATATGTATGTCTGAGAAAGTTTTGGAGCAACGAGCCAACCCGCGCGTCCTATTAATTATTGAGGATGGCAATAACATGGGCGCAACTGGGCAACGCGTTCCGTATACAGCGAGGGAGTTCGGTAAGAGTGCGTGGGGTTTGGGGGAAATGTTTAGGATGATGAGCAGGTGACACGCCAACGCTCAAGTATGACAGAGGGATATTGGTTTTCTCGGCGTTCTCCGCGTTGAAAGTATGCGCAAGGACGGGTTGGCCAACACGTGTGAGCCATCGGGAAACAATTGGGCATCTTCTCGTAAAAACCGACGTGCCGAGACAATGATGGATTTTTCCTACTGTTTACCCAGTCATTGAGGTCATCGTCATTGCACTTGCGGGCGGGCGAACAAAGCATGGCTCGCAAATAATTAGCGTGCAAAAAATATTAGGTTATCCTAGAAGAAGCGACTGTGGAGTCGATACAAGAATTTGTACGCGCGAGTGTGAGCGTGAGTGCAAATGAGATAGGTGGATTGGGCGAGGAGGTCGGCAAGCTAGCAGAAAATTACTTAATGATCGGAATCCTTCCTCTGGGGCTTCGCACGTCTAACAGTGTGGCATACCGTGAGGTATATTTAGAGCCGCACACTACATACTTCAAGGCAGCGCGAGTGCCGAGCGATCTTTCCAGACTGTTACGACCACTCTCCGAGAGCGAGATGTTCTAGATGGCGACAGGGCTATCCCGAGATCGTTCAGTGACCCAAGAGTAAAGCGGAATTTGAGAGCGAAAAAACGCAATTCAGCGTAACCGGTCTGACTTTGGGGTCTATGGCCCCCCTCCCTATGGCAGCAGCGCGAATGGGAAAGCGCAGCAGAGAGAAGAAACAATTCTAAGGCAGGAACGACAAAGTGGCAGACTGACCTCGACGTTCGTCCAGCAAGTCACAACGAGCACCTGAAGCGTGAGATTGTGCACGAGAACATTTTTGTACCGCGATCTTCTTTGCAACCGATGTATTTCAAAAATAAAATTGTGTGGTATGCTTCAATAAAATCCTCTACATTAATTACTTACTCACTTGTCCCTAACATCAATATTGAAGTTAACATATGATCTTACTCAATCCAAATTTCGACGGGGTAAATAATTCATTAATTGACTTGTTATATTGAGTGTTTGGCTAAATAACGTTTATTGGAAATCGAATCACTTTTACAGACACTATAGGAACCATGTAACATATATTATTATTTACCCCTCCTCATACAGTTTATCAAAAAAGTGAAATAGGCATGCAAGTGCTCTGTAGACTGGATGGAAATTAATTTTTTATTATGAGCGATTAGTGCAAAGGTATTGTAATTTGATTGTGACTACAAAGTATCAGTCAATTCATAAAACAAGATGTCAGATACATCTCTATAAATAACAAAACAGTCTGCCATTAATACTAAAAAGTGGTGCTTCACGTTACAATCAAAATTACAATTTCTGTGCAATAATTATTAGCAACAAAAAATTGATTTCAAAATACCTTTAATCATTTGCAGGCTATTTGCATGTCAATTTTATTTATTTATTTTTCAAAAAACTGTAATTTCATTCAGTGCATAATCATTATAAATATGCATAGACTCAAATATTAAAACTGTAGAAAACGTAGAAACTCGCTGACATGCACCACACCTGCCCTCACTCTAACACGATAACAATAAGGAAAAAGAAACCGTTTACACCGTTTTGTCACGAAGCGATATAAAAACCCAGGAAAATGTACATTTCGAAGGCGATTTGGCAAACCTTGTAAATACGGCAATTGTTTAGGCAAGTCGATATAACGAGTGACGTAATGTCTCAGGTTTTCTTGTCTACTGCTTCTCACTCATGGTCCTGCGGATTTCTAGACGCCGTGCTCGCGCTAATTACTTAACCGAACGTGAGCCTGCGCAGAGTTTGGGTATCATCAGTTCTACTTGCTCTGAGGGATAAGTCCCTGGAGGCAGTTGCTGAGGGCAGATAGGAAGGTGCAGAAGCCGTCCTAGGCTTTAGGCTGTCGAGTGGAGTGCCGGAAGACCAACGAGGCCGACAGGAGAGGGAGGAGAGCTCAGGGAATAGCGCGGATAGGGCTCAGAGGCAGCGTGGGCCCAATCGAGGGTGGTAACCTATAAGAAAATATTGTGATGCAATTGGAGGGGAGCGACGAAATCCGGCATCGCGCGCTGGATGCCTAGTTTTAATTATAGTTCTAGTTGTCACTTCGTGCGAAGCAGGTCGTCTTCTGCTCTTAAAATATATACCTGTTCAAATACCAGGTTTTTTTCCTTGAAAATTTAGTTCTTTATGCTGATATTTTTTGTGCACGCGCGATTCTAATTGTTAAGTACTGAAGTTCATTAGGACTCAAAAGTGTGATCAAAATAAAATGAAGAAAAAAAGCAAATTAATTCAAAAGCACTGTTTCCTTTCTATCTCACTCTTACCAAAACATTGTCCATGTGCTAATCTCTCTGATAATATACTCGTACAAAAATAAATAGCTGGTCGGTTTTCTCTTGTAATCAGGCACGTATTTGTAAGTTAATTGGCATTACTTACACGTGGTCAGTCACGTAGCGACTGTTCATATGATTGAAAGCATTGACTGGCGTACATCATAAGCAAAATACACACAATATTCAACGTATACTACAAACACCTAAGACAAAACACTACACTGAAGGAAAAAGCAAATACATAGATCGTGTTAATAATCGCATAATTTGAATCATTTTCGCAAAATTTCAATTTTAACTTTATCATCAATCGAACTAAAACTGTTTTCTGATAATAGATAGTGGTATCAACTTTTCATTCTGTTCATAGGAACATTACGAAGTAATGTACACAAATGAGAAAAAACGAGTGACTTTCGGAGGAGCTTGGAATCACCGTTTTATTAACTACTTCGTAACTACTCGCATGCGACTCGCTACCACGACTCCTCGGTATTGTATGGCTAAAATTGTTTATGTATTAAGCTTCATTAGGATCTTTTTTATTGTAGCGCTCTTTGCTTACTTGTTTGTCTACAATGTTCAAAAGACTTAACAACTTTTCAAATGAGATGTAATTGTTTATAAAGTATAATGAAATGTTTTACTAACTGAACTGACTGAATAGTAATCTATGTTTTCTAAATTTGTCTTTTAATATGAAAAGAAGAAAGCTGTAGCATATTTGTGAAATATTATACTTGCACGTATGCCAAACTTACCTCCGCGTATTCGCAATATTTTCTATAATACATCCAGACTTCATATCTCCCATATTTGATTTTCGATTTGCACGTTTCTTTTTTTCCCTATCGCGAAGTGCCTAAAACAAAAATAGCAAAATAACATTAAAAATTGCAATAAAAATCATTTTCAACAAATTCAAAGTGAATCAATAACTGCCATCTTAAAATAGACTTTTCTTATGAAAAAAAAAATTAGAATGAGAACGAATGATGAGATTCAATTTCAAGTTATTTAACGTTTCTTACTAAATTCAAATTTACTTAAAGCTTCTTACTAAAATTAACGCATTAACGACCATAGTATTCCCTAATAAATTTTAAGACATTTTTCTTCTATAAAACTTTTTTCTAAACCTTGTATTGTATGAGAAAAACAATGGTAATGAGATACGATTTTTTTTTCAGGTTTTTGCATTTTATTCGTCATTTTGGAAAAAAAGCTTAAATATAAAGATGTCCTGTTAAAGTTCAACTTTTCGTGCGCCTATGTTTGAAGAAAGATGTCGATATTGACGCGTTTCATGCTAGAAAAAAATGGATAAATAAATATTTTTTATTGTTGACTATTTTTGAAAGGGACGGGGTGAGCAAAATATTGAATTTATTTCGGTGGGAATAAACACAAATAAATTTTATTGCAACAAACTTCAAGTACAAAAACGTTGTCCGTTGTGTGTCTAACAGAAGAATGACGTAAAACAAAACCTTCAGCGGCGCGTCTCATTCGAGCCACCGCAGCTTTGCTGGTAGGGTAGCCTCCCGCATTGGGCCTTATGCACCGCAGAGTTTAGCTACGACCCTGCCCGCTCAAAACTCATGCTCCCTCACTCACCTTCACGCTCGCTAACCTATCGGTCCTCAGGTCAGCCAAGCAGCTTCCCGTTACCGTCCTTATGCGACCGACAAAACCCGGAAGTCGAACTTTTCGCGAGGTCTAACGGCCTCCAGAGTCAGACTCCTGGAGCCAGGAATTGGATTCACGACCACGAAACGCCTTCGTGCTCGTGCACGTCAAGATCGAACAGAGCCGATCAAGGGAGATGAATATGTTCGCGTAAGGCAATAGATAAGCGGCTTAAAACTAACTCAGACTTATTCTAACAATTGCAATTCACTCGCATTCGCTTTACAATTTTATTTATTACATATATTTTTTTTATGACGTTTGATCGCAACGTGAAATATATCCCGCTAACCCGAGGCTGATGGCCGATAGTTCTCCGAGAGCAGTCGCGCTTTCACTAATTAGTTAATGCCTTTTTTCCCACCACGTGTTGGCTTTTCTCCGGCGCCAGCGAAAGCAAATACGCGTTCTGTACACGAACCCCGACTACCTGCGTCTTCCAAATTGTCTTCTACTTCCCTTTCTTTTTGTAGACAGGGCTCATCCTTAACGTTTTTAACAATTTCATTTTTCACTATTTTTTTGTAAAAGAAAAAACCTGTCATACTTAATTTTTGAAGCAAGCAAAATTTTTGAAATTTGAGCACGGATTCGTATTCAGCATACCCAAAAATAAGGATCGATACCTCAAATCAATTTATTGTATCGTTTTCTACATAAATTTTGCCATCAAAAACATGTCCAAAAAATGACGTCTATGGTCATGAATGGGTTAATTTAATAATTACTGTATTTTTGAATTGATAAAATTATTTTCTAGAAAGATTAGTTATAAATATACACCATAAAATTTGCAAGTTTGTAAATGAAATGAAATATTGCGAGAGGATATATTACGCAATAAAATATTTTTAAGTTTATTACTTACACTAAATATCCTATAATAGAGAAAGACCATTGTAATGCATGGGATATAAAAACTGCTTAGACTAGAATAAATAATAAAATCTGTATGATAGAACAAACAGAGGTCAGGCTGTCTATTAGGGGTGTTGTTGAGGCCGAGGACAATTGGACTGCCGATCGCCGCTGACACAACCCACACTAATACTATCGTCAGCCATACTCTTTTGTTATTTCTGTTGTGTTTTGAGTACTCTATCGGCCGAGTTACCGCGAAGTATCTGAAATTCAGAGATTCACTATTATTTTATAAAATAATTTTAAGCATTGTTATTCGTGTAAATTTTATAAAACCAACAATAAAATTAGCTATCGAACTTATTTAAACAAATATCAAATAATATATGTTATAGATTTCTTCTTAAAAATAACTAATACTTTTTTCTCGACATTAAATCTTTCTTAGGGTCAACGCAATTTTCAGAATTTTTACCTTCATGGTACAAGCACAGTTTGGTAGTATTTTGTATTCTTCATGTACCAAAACGTTAACTTTGTTGACCTTATTTCTTTCTCTACTTATCGCGTATTCTGCTTTTTACTCAAAATAAATCCATCTCTAAAGGAATACATTAAAATAATTTTTGAAATATAATTATGTTTCACAGAACAAAATATATTGATTTTTTTTCAATTTCACTGTAAAAAAAGAATGTTCGGAAATCTGTAATGACAGTTAAACCCTTGATCTTGATTTGCTAAAACTTATTGATTAAAAGATATAAACTGCTTTCGAAATAAACAAAGAGAATTAGAGACAAATCTATCATTCTGGCGTATGTGGAAAAATTAATTCAAGATCAGATATGCTTTTAGAAAGTTGAAATATAAACTTGATAAATATGGTGATACTTATTTAAATTTTAGTAATAAATATTTACCGTGCTGTATTTAAAGTTAATTACTTAAAAAACAAAATATGAAAGCAGTCGACTCGTGGTCTCCGTACAGATCAGACGTGTTTACGCCTTTTCTGTTAGGTTGCGATCGGGAGTGTTTTTCCTTTCGATAGTGTAGTATATTTCATGTAACTCAATTCTGACTCTTATTACATATAGTGAATTTACGAAATAATCTGCTGTGAGTGTACCTAGTGCATTATAACACAGATTCCCAATATATCAACTTCTGACTACAGAGGTTCACAAACCACTCTACACAACGAGATGAACCAACACCAAGATCAATAATCAACGCAACTACGCAAGTGCAATTAAAACCGATAATTTCCGATAATAACCGATATAGTTTGTATTTATTTGTCTTCTAAAGCAATAGTAAATGACCTTATCGGAAAACATCTCAATAACAGAAACTCCAGTATCAATAAGACTTCTGATAGATGTTTCCTAAAGTGATAAATTACCTATCAGATATGAAACTCCTTGATAAAATATAAAATAATATTATTTGTATTATGTAATCACAGTTCTCTTTTATGTATTTATTATACTACTTGTACATATTTAGTTAAAACTAATGTAAAACTTTTGTAATATGTACTTCAAGTCGTTAATGGCCAAGTTGTCGATGCGACATTAAATCAAATAAATTAAAAAAAATATATGAAAAGTAGAGTAATTTTAATAATTGTATTTAAATTCTTACCTATCTACAGATATTGCCACCAAATTAAAAATAGAGCTTGTACTACACATGACGTCCATTGCTATGTAAAAGTCGCAAACTACACCTGGCAAAGTCCAAGTACCGTATACCTGAAAAATAAATGATCAAGAGTAGAGTAAGTATAATCCTGTAGAAAGTTGACAATTGAAATAATCAGATCTAATATGAGAACTTGAAAAATTATTTCTAAAAGATGAACAGTTTGTATCACTAGCTTAGAAATAAAATTTCTGATAAATAATAGTATAGCTGTCTAAAAATATATTTTCATCATATTTTCCTAAAACTACAACTTATACATAGTTCTTTAGAGAAAGTTCGATCCAAGAAAATAATTAATTTTAATTATGTATAAGCCCTGATTAACCGGTAAAATATTGTTTTCAACATAGCGTGAAGAAAGTACGATATTGCCGCATGCTTGTCGAAAAACTTGCATTCAAATTCATGCTTTTCACATGGTGTTTTGAAATATACCGTACCTAACATATTCGAGAAAGAGATTCTTGTTTCGTGTGCCTTTCTAGTCTCACTTCGTTTGGGCGTAAATCTCATTCGAGAGAAGAATCTACTTTCCCACACTAATTAGGTAATGTATTATTGCTTTATTTTTATTTCCTTACATCTAAACTGCGTAGCAAAAGTAAATATTTTTAGTTAAAATTTATTAAAATTTATATTAATAATTGTAACGGATGATGTTCACTATTATCGATTTTTTCACCTTACATCTATTTAACCGCTATTAGAAATTCATTTGACAGATTTGTATTGAATGTAAACTTTTTCCAAATATTGAAAAATATTTATATTTGGCACGAAGCCAATATTCAATTCACACAAAAAGATTATCTAACGTTTTATTTTCTAGTATTGAAATGGTTGAATTGGAAATTAGGTTACAATCAAGAAACAGTTCTTTGGATAAATAATGCAGTTATGAGCAAGTTTTCAATTCAATAATCTCTTTCAATTTGATAAACTCTTGATACTCGAAACGAAAATACAATTACAAAGTATGAATACAGAATATACAGGTTTTTAATTACATTTGTAAGAAAAATGGTGTGAGTATTGAATTGGATAGTATATAGCATTTTCTTGTTATGACAATGAAAATGAACGTGAATTCACAGGACAAGCCTCTATTGCCATGATCACGATAATCTGAGAGAGGGAGAGAGAAAGAGAGAAAGAGACTATGAATCAAGTCGGAGCGCAAACTGGCGTGTCGAGTTTTTCTGCCTCTATAACCAGCAATGCGGCTCTCCTCCGGCGAAAAGAATAGAAGAAATCTTTGATTTATCGAATTTTTTGATTTATTGAATGGTTAATACTCTGTGTGTGTGCGTGCACGTGTGAGTAGCTTGAAATTTTATATTTTTACGACGGTACCGCGATTATTGTTATACATTTTAGCCTACATCGAATAACTTATCACTTTGTATATTATTTATTTTATAATCTATTTTTATTAAATTGTAAGATAGATTTGTCAAACTAGTACTCTTTTACATTTATTTTCATTGAAATCCAATGAAAATTCAAATGTTTGACATTATAATCTTATTCAACGAATGAAATAAAAGTATAACTCTTTATGGATTGAAACTAAATATGATGATCTACAATTTTCATTACTTTTCAATATAGATGATGGAAAAATTAAGTGAATATCGTGTCCTTTTCTTTTGTTTAAATGTGCTCCAAAGGTGATGCTACACTCGATTCTCAATACATTCACCTTAAGAATTGCAACTAGAAAATCAGACTAGTAAGAAACCGCTGTGTCTGCTGTAGATGTGGTGTAAATCCTAGTAAATCCGATGGAATTTTCAGGACAGAAACCGATACATTCAGAACTTTTAATTATACAACGTAACGTATTGTTGTCTGGCTGCAAGCTTACAGTAATGTGATGTTTCTCTAAGGCCTTCTGAAGAAATTTATTGTCATCGTGGCTATCGGTTTATTCAATTAATGTTGCGCAATAAAGCAAATCAAGATATTGTATTAAAAGGAATCTTTCATTAAAAATAAAGAAACTGTCTACTAGATAATTGTAAAATAAAAAATAAAGAAAAACATGAAGTACCTGGTGAAAGGCAAGATAGAACGGAAGTGTAATAAGAGTGAGAATAAGAGCAAGAGAACTAGAGTTGAGAGAGAGGATGATCAAATCTACTTTCGCTGCGGTCGTGCACACATCTACCGTAGAAACGAGAGGCAAAACTTGATTTATTTTAGTGACTCGTGCTGAGCTTACCAATGCTTTGGAACGATAGAACCAGAGAAGACAAGGTTGCATACGTGCATACCCAGACAAAACTTGACTGCCTTCAATCAGTGGTGGGTCCGCAAAATACGCACGTAAAATATTACATTTTTCACGTGTGATTTATGTATGTAAAAATTGTCAAACCCTGTCAAAAAATAATAAACATAAATAACCATATGTTTTAAAAAACTTGATTTTAAACTATTAGCTAATTGAATTTCCCGCGTATTTTCACGAGGCTGCACATCAAAATACCAAAACATTAGCATAACCTAGATAATTCCACCTGTTGATAGAATGACATAGTACCGGAGTTAGATCCTAAGCTACAAATTATAAATATGAGAAAAGCTGGAAGGCCAGGAAATAATGGCTTAATACAAAGTTTAGGTTATTGTTTAGGTTATTGTTTAGGTTACGAGTAGCGAATTATAGTCGATGAACTAAACAAAATGGGAAAACAAAGATTACGCACCTACAGTTTTGTGTTTAGGCTCGTTGTTGATAAAATAATTTGACCGATATTTTTTTTTTGCTAACTATTTTTTACCGCGTAGAAATAATTGTAAAAAAGAGGAAAAGAAATCTCTATTCAGATCAGATTACTACTGGTACCAATATTTTTGAGGCTGAAATAATCATTGACAATAAAGAGCTAGAAATGCTGGGATTGCAGGTAAATTATTTTAATTTTCTATTGCTAATCCTTACATAAAAAGAAAAAAACATTGTTTTTTTTTTGTAGGAACTCCCTTCATTATGTTGCTATTATGCAGTAGTATGTATGTGTAGATGGACAAATGTATGTAGGTATATATGTTCGTGTTTTGGGTTTACTTAGTGTATAAAAGACATTATTAACACAGCAGCTGACATATTAGCGAATTCGTGCTAATAAATGACTCGAATCGTTTTACATTTATTTTATATTCATTAATTGAGCTACATCCATGCAGACTACACAGGCATTAAAAAAAGAATAACGACCGCATTCACTCCACGGCCTAACTTTAAAATAATATAATGGAACAATGAACTTGATATATTGCCCATGATCTATGGCTAATTAGCTAACATCTAAAGATCTGCTATATTATTAGATTTGAAATTATAACTAAATATGTGAATATCAACGTAATTTGATTTTTATTTGTGAATTAATATTGACAGATGTTAAGTATGTTTAAACATAAACACTATTTTATGTTTGCAGTGTATTTTATAATTTGATTTGATTCAAGCATGACATTCAATATTCATATAAATGAGAGATGAGCGTGCGAGGCGCGTTTGACGACACTAGTTATCAAAAAGATTTATGAAAACAAACTGAGAAGTCAAAGGTAGTCTTTTTTTTTCACGCTTCTTTTACTGATAATCACAAAATTTTTAAAACTCTCAAATGACTTATCTATACATAAAAAGTTTGTGACATTAATGGAAGATGGCAATTTAAAAAAAGCTTGGTCTATTAAAATGCGTAAAATATATAAAACATGAGAAAAGATATTTAATAATGAAATCTCAGCGAGTTCAAAGTGTCATAAATAAAAACATCAGTGTGACTGAAATCTCAGTCTTGTAGAAGCTGTGAAATAACAAAATTTATACTCACTTCCGTCATTCTCTCTAACTATGCTACACGCATGCAGTTCAGTAATAACTTCATGTGTAAGCTGAGGCAAGCATACGTGACGGGGATTTTTTAGTGACAATGTGCTGCACATCCCCTTGGGTGTAGACGTGTAACTACGTCACTCGAGAAAACTATTGAATTTGCGCTTTAGCGAAATTGCTTCGTATACCAAAAATGTATTCCATTTGATCGTTGACATTATTTTCTATTAATGATTTAACTTACAAAAAACTAAAAATTACAGTTTTGTTGGGTCCAGTTATTTTATAACGAAGGCAATTTATAGTTATCGGAAAATCGTTTTTTGATGCTATAGTATTAAAGTACGACAGATGATAGATTTCTCGTCAGGGCAAATGCTTCGTGACGGGAGCATAGCAGTGGTTTCAACAAATTTCCTTAGGTCGGATGCCACACATGTGCGCTCACGATGTGGAAAGACGACAACGACGAAAACTTGCAAGCAAACTTGAGTAACTGAAGAGGACAAACTACCGAGTCGAAGGATATGGAAGTGGAAGCCAGTGGGGACAGGCCAAGTTCTGAGACTTTTGAAGGCGCGCACGTGATTCCTTCATTCGCTTGCGATTCCGAACACGTGGTTGGAACCATACGTCGCACACGGCTTTAAAACTGCAAGTACCTTTGTATTTTTAGTCCTAGATATTGAATGCATCTTGATACCATAATTTTAATATTGCTCTTCTCACAATTTATAATACTATATAAATATAATATGTATTAATATATATCAATTTATTTAAATTAAACTATATTTATTATTTTTTGTTGCTTTTGAAAACTGATCTTAAATTATTATTACTTTCTAAAGGTATGCTTTCACATAAAAAATCTTTTGCGCAAACATTTTATTGAAACATGCTTAGTTTTAATAGAAATTGATAGCCTTTACAAGGTAAAATAATATTTTTTCATATATATTATTTTATATTATATTATTATTTATATATTTTATAATACATTTATATATATATGAAATAATTTAATTAATTCGACTATTATAAATTGCTTTTTCCTTAGAATAATGACTGAATTCGCTATGAAAATCTAGTCATATCCAAATAACTGTTATTGTTGAAACAAAGTTATTATGCAGTTATCAAGTTTCCTATCGAAAAAAGAAAAATTAAGATTTTCACGATTCAAATGTAAAC